CATGGGTAATCGAACCCACGACCTCCTGAATACCACTTACGTGCTCAAACCAACTGAGCTAGCCCGCTTCAATGAAACCAGGCGCCAATTTAATATTTCTGAGGTTCAATTTCATTATTGCTATTTTATTACAAAATTTACAACTTTTGTTTCCTGCAAGGAATATGAGCGAGAGCGATGGACAGAAATCCAAATTGCAAAATCACGAAGTAGTCCAGATAGTCATGTACCAAGCAGAGAGTGCAATGCACCAAGATACCATCCAAATACAGTGAACTCAATGTCAATGCCGACGCTGTCTGGCCACACCAACATAGTATCCAATGTCACTCCTACTGTCTGGCGGCCAGCGCCCAGCCCACACTACTCAGCCTATCTAGCCTATCTACGTTCATGCAACAGGAACACATCGAAGTTGGAGACCAATGTAGGTGACGTCGATCGCCAATGCAGACCGCCAGCATACACCAGGTACGTGTCTCACTCCTCTCCTCATCACCCCTGACTCCCCTCTGCATGCGCCTCCTCCCCGAAGACCGCCATCGCCGTCATCATGCATGTCCCCAGCAGCCCGGCTATGGCCGCCGTGCGGCCGCTGCCACTGCAGCGCACCTCTCTCACCTCGGTGCCCGTGCGCGCATATGGCTGGCAAGCACTATCGCAGCAGCGCTCGACAAAGCAGCAGCGTGGCTGCTATGCCTGCCTAGGCCAGAATGCCCAGCCCCTGGGCGCTCACTTTCCTTTATGGAAAGTGAGTCCTTCTTGTCGTGCCTTGGGCCTGGCTGGGCGAGTTTCCAGTAGCTTCCAGTCAGGCCCCGGTGTCTGCGCCCAGGCCCAGTTTCAGTTACTGGCCTGGGCCCCGTGCAGTTAGGCATGTCCAGGCTGCCCACGATCCTCCATCTGTTCGGTGCAATCTCATTGGCTCGTGGCATGTGTGTGACGAGGGAGCTGCTTTCTCATTGGTTTGCGGCCACTGAGTGACTCGTCGGCCTCTGGCTGCATGTGCCCAGGGCCTCAACCGAATGTGCCCTGGGCGCAACTGTACGACGCAGGTGCTGCTTCTGGAAAGAGCCTAGGAAGGGTCACGTTGCTCTGTAACCAACTGGCGTGCTGCAACTGTCTGATACCCCGCATACGACAAATAGCAAAAATAGGTCTCACGCAAATATGCAGGCCTGCGGGCAAGAGGCTTGCTGGGGCATTGTGGCCAGAACATCTGTGGGCCCGAGAATGGCCTTGCGAGGGCTCATTCCTCACACTCGGCATGCGAGTTTGTTACCCGCGTGTGATTTTGTTGCACTTTCCAAACCTGCCTGTGCGACAACCGAGCTTACCCCCCCCCCAAAAAAAAAAAACATATTCATGATATTCTGCAATTAAAAAAATAATAAAAAATCTGAAGATTGAAAAGAAAAGAAAAGCAAACAAAGCATGTTCTGAAAAAAAAAAAAAAAAGAATCTGCAGATTAGCCACTGCTGGAAGGGTGCTCACTTTTTGTGGATATTAGCAGGAGTGCGAGGAATGAGCCCTTGGAAGGCCCTTATCGGGCCCACAGACGTTCTGGGCACAATGCCCCAGCAAGCCTCTTGCCCGCCCAGAGTGAAGGCGGGCCTGCACATTTCCATGAGGCCTATTTTTGCCATTTGTCGTATGTGGGGTATCAGACAGTTGCAGCACGCCAGTTGGTTACAGAGAAGCGTGAGCCTTCCCAGGATCTGTCCAGAAGCAGCACCTGTGTCGTCCAGTTGCGCCTAGGGCGCATTCAGTTGAGGCCCTGGGCACATGCAGTCAGAGGCCGACAAGTCAATCAGCGGCCGCGGACCAATGACAAAGCAGCTCCCTCGTCACACACATGCCACGAGCCAATGAGATTGTACCGAACAGTTGGAGCATCGTGAGAAGCCTGGACGTGTCTAACTGCACGGGGCCCAGGCCAGTAACTTAAACTAGGCCTGGGCGCAGACACTGGGGCCCGACTGGAAGCTACTGGAAACTTGCCCAGCCAGGCCCAAGGCACGACAAGCAGGGCTCACTTTCCATAAAGGAAAGTGAGCGCCCTGGGGCTGGGCATTGTCGTGTGCGTGGGCAATGCGGCCACGTTTGTTACGGACTCAGCCAGGGCTCGATCCCTGGTCCACGGGTTACCACCCGCCAGGCTGTATTTTTGAGTCTCTGATCTCCGGTTCCTGACTGTTGGTGCCCTCTGCAGTTGGAGCCCATTCTCAAATCCCTCCTCTGGCACTTTCGGATTTCGATACTTGGCGCCATCCGGCATTCTGGAGCCCAGGCTCAGACCTTCGATTTTCAGTGCAGCCTGAGGCAAATTGCACTTTTGCCCTCGGACTCAATTTGAGTCCGGTGCTTAAGACCGGACTCAAGCTGAGTTCGGGGACTCAGTTTCTGGCCTTAGCGCTTGTGCTTCAGTGTGACTTGCTGCGACGTTGTGTAAGGAACCAAGATTGCAACTTTGCGACTTTGCGACTTTGCCACGTTGTGTCTGCGTCCGTTGAGTCGTGTCGAGTCCGTGTCGAGTTGAGTGAGTGTGTGTGTGTGCTCTCCCTCCCTCCCTCTCTTTTCCCGACCTCGCTGCTCTACCTCCGCCTCGTCACACTGGAATCGGAGCGGCGAACGGCCCTCCCTCCCTCCTGTTCCGGCATTGCCACGTCATCGACATCGTCGTCTTGTCATCGCCATCGTCGTCGTCGCTGCCACGTCATCGTCACCGCTGTCGCTGCCATCGCCGACGCACAGGTAATTCCCCGACGAAATTTTTTTTCTTCTTGCCCCCCCCTCCTGTCTGATCCGCTCTTGCCTCCGTCTCACCCCGTTCTCCCATCTGTCCTCCGCCACATCCTTGTCTCCCTTGTCCAAATTCTCTTTATGGCCCCTGCGCGTCGTCGGTGATAATGGATCTAATGTCAAGCGCATGAGGAC